GTGCTCCCGCACCAGGCCCTCCACCAGCCCCAGAAGCTGCTCCGCCTGAACCTCCTGCTCCCGGCCAGTGGCCCGGTTGTCAAAGGCACAGACCCGGCCCCCGCACTCGGCCACCAGCTTGCGGAGGGCCTGGTTCTCTGTGCTGCACACGTAATCCTGCAGGGAGCCCCCCGTCAGGTCCTCCTTCCTGGTGAAGACGATAACCGTCCAGCTGGGTCACCAGGAGCAGCGCGTGGGGCCCGGGGGCCGAGAGCAGGTAGCAGCGACCTCTCTCCTCACAGCCGGGGTCTGTCTTAGGCACTTCGGAGCTGAAAATGTCCAGAGTGTCCACTACTTCCACATGCCACTTGTCGCACCTGCGGCTGGCCGTGGTGCAGGCCCCGGTCACAGATGTGGCCCCCAGCCGGGAGAGGAACCGTCTCTTGCCCAGGATGCTGTTCCCAGTGGCGCTCTTTCCGGCCCCTGTTCTCCCAACAAGGATGAGCCTCAGCGTGCGCACCTGCCGGGACTGGGTGTCCTCTGCTGAACCTGCGAGAATAAATTATTTGTAAGCTTTCAAACCTAAGCCAGCATACCTAGGTAAATGGATCTCTTGGATGCCTTCTGAATCAAGGAGAAGAGTGCGTTCGACTTTTGCTTTTTAAAGCAAACCTTCACTGAGGTGATTTAATGAGAGATTTGCCGTCCCTGGTGGTCCTTACTCATCCAGTCTTGTCCCCTTTGGTTTCACCACATGCCCCTGTTGATGTCCCAGAGCTTAAGGAACCTTTCTCCAGGGGGAACCCTTTATAGTTTCAGGCCATTACCTCATCTGAGAGTAGCTCTCTCTGGTCATCTGCACACATGCAGGCTGCACAGGGATTTATTTCCCTTGCTTTCGCATTGGCCTTCCCACTCTGGACAACTGCAACTGTGGTGGGCTCTCTAACAAGTCTTCCAGAAACCACCCTTTGGAAGTGGGAGTAGGATCTGAGCGGGGGCTAGAGTCAGCTCAGCCCCTGGGTTTGAACCACCGCCTCTGCACTGGCTAACCGTGTAGCTGTGGGAAGTTATTTAATCTCCCTGAGCCTTAATTTCCTTCTTCTGTAAAATGGGAGTAATAATATCCATGGTTCCTCAGAGGGTTCTTGAGAGGGTTATATGAGCTAATCCGCATACATGCTGAGCAGAGTGGCTGGCACGTGGAACATCTTTAGTGAATCTAAGTCGTTGCTTTCAGAGGGCTGGGAATAAGAGACCATGTCAGCTTGGGTGGTAGATAAGGAATGTGATCTGGGGGTCTCCTGACTAAAATTCAGATCTTGGTGCCATTTCTAAGGCCCCTGTCTGTGATTTTGAGCCAATCTCTGGGAAGCTGAGCTGATACAAGGCAACTGTTTTTAGGTCAGCCTTGTATACAGAACCTAAGAGGGTGAGGCAATATATTGGTTTTCACTTCTCTAAGATCAACTTCTTTTGAAATCTCTGTCCCTGCCCATCCGGATCTGGGCATTTGAGGGCTGGCATTACTCTCTGCAGGGGCTCTGGGGACTTCAAGGTCTAAAGTTATCTAGGCCAGTGGCAGACAGAGTGGAATCTACCATCCCACCCCAGAGATCAAAGCCTAACACTTTATTCCTAATCAACTGGGCCATACCAGCCTTTGCCATTGTATTAACAGGGGCAGGGAAATTACAAAGCCAGTGCTCCTGAATTTTCTTAGTCCCATTCAAAAGTCACTAATTGACTTCTGATTCTGATTCTGATTAGGAGAGAGGCACCTGCAGGGTGTTAAGAGCTGCCCATACCTGGAAGGTAGAACACCTGAATGGTGGCATCTGCCCTGCTGCTGTCTGAAGTCCATGTACAGGAAAATCTCTGAACTTCACTTTTGTCACATTTTAAATGAAGGGGGTTGAATTTTGATAATCCCTGAGGTGCTCTCCAAATCTACCCTTCCAAAATCTTCTTGTATCACTTCTCTTGGTAAATTTCAAAGTTCGTTCACTTCTGTCACAGAGTCTAGCATGACTCATTACCCATCCTAGTACCACACAATATTTCCAAGTCAACTATTTTGTAGTGTATGGCAAAAGTCACTCCTTTCCATTTATAGCTCTTCTCAGTAATTATTTCTGACCTTACTTTACCTCTGCTATCCTCAGTTTCCTCATATTGAAAAATGCAGATAATAACTGTTTAACCTACCTTAAAGATTCCTTTGAGGATTAAGTGGGATGTTGCATACAGAGCCTGTCATACACTGAACTACTCATGATGCCCCTTATCCACAGGCTGTCCTGCAGTGCCGGCTTCCTGACCAAGTGAGTCCTTTATCATTTGAATAAGTAGTGCCCCGCCAAAATGGAAGGTAGGCAGAGACATTTCTTTTAAGGTGGGATGTGAAATAAGTGATTGGGATTTATTCCACCCCCGCTTTTCCTGTTCAGTCAGGATGTCATCTCTCTCCCAACTAAGTGCCCTCACTGGGCTCTGTCATCACTCCGCTCTTAACATCACCATGTAAGTCGGTCATTGAGAGGAAATGATGCATGTGAATCCCCGTTCGTCTCCCCTTCTTGACTTGGATCTTAGTTTGTAAAATCCAACAGCAGAACCATGTTAGAGAGGTGCTCTCTTCGTCATTATCAGTCAGTCTCCATTTCCCATCTTCTGTCTCTCAGTCTCCCTTTCTTCTCACTTTCTCCCTCCCTCATTTTCTCTCCCTTGAGCTCTCCTAATATTTTAACTCTTACTCATTGTTCTCCAACACTTTCTTTGGTAAATCATGTTTACTCTATCCTCTATACCCTTGGTCCTCACCCTGTTGAAAAGGACAGAGCCTCAACTATGCTCTCTTACTGAGGCCAGAGCAGTCAAAAGACTTTCCACAACATCACACAGCAGACCAGGAGCAGAGATGGTGCCAGGGCTTTCACTGTGATATCCTACTGCTCACAACCCCTCTATCTTTTAGAAGATAGCTGAAGGAATTTTCTCCCAAAAGAAACATATCTTAGCTGTCTTCCGCCTTGAGTCATTCCCCACCCCTGTACCCAATCCAGGCACAAACACAGAGGGCATACGTGCCCTCCAGACACAAGTTCTTACCATGGACATGCTCCTCATTGCCTCCCATCTTCCCTTGTTGTCCCATGCTCACCTGGAAGAGTCACAGACACAGCTCATTTGTCCATTCATTTGTCACATAGGTATATATCACCTGAAGTCAGGAGGAGAACAAGATTCTGGGGAAACCACAGCGAGAAGACATTGTCCCTGCCTTCAAGAGTCTTAGAATCCAGTTGTGTATTGTGGTGTGTGTTTGTAGGAGTTGGGATGGGATGGGGAGGGGCAAGAATACAAATGGAATCAGTGATAAGTCCTACTTTAGGAGTGACATTAAGATATTGAATGTTAGCACTAGGATATTAGGATCTGGAAGGAAAGAATAAGGGCACCCATCCTGTTCTTGAGTTAGAAGGACATTTTGGAACCGTTTAATGTTTTCAGTTTCTGGTTCAGAAACTAAATAAGAGGATATTCTATGTCAATGACGCATGAACTGTAGAAATACATTTTTTCTAGGGAATTTGGGGATTACAAGAGACTTCAGTAAAAACTCTGAGTGTCAGAACATGTACTCGGTAACTTAGGGAATTGCCTTAGTGGGAACTGGCCTAGCAAACAAATGAGAAGACACTTGGAAAAATCTCAAGTTTCTTGGGTTCACAAATACATACAACAAGCTGACCAGAGCTTTTAGCTTTGCTCTCACAAAGCCAAGTATCTATTTGCTTGTCTGAATATGGCTCAAATGCTGTCCTCCACCTTTTGATGTCCTTCTACTCAAATCTGCGGCTTTTCTAAATAAAGTAATTGTGCTCAATCCTAACATTATTTAATATAACTAACACTCTGTGATCCAATTTGCCTGATCACAGAAGCTCCTGAACACAAATGTACTTCTCCCTGCCTCTATGTCTCCAGCCTAATTCCCAGCCAATCCCCTACTCAGTCAGCTACTCCACAAACAGCAGATTTCAGGGCCTCCAACCTGCTCTGCTTCTCCTCCTAGGATTATTGATCCTCCCCAACCGTCCGTCTGTGCCTCACCATCCATGTCAAACTCACCTCTTTGTGTCTTCCACCCTGGTCACTCAGGTACCTGTGTTTTTTCCCATCGGCATCATACGTGAAGGAAGGGCAGAGAGAGAGGCTGCCTGAGTAACTTGTCTCTGGCTGAAGGCTTGTGGAACAGATTTGCCTTGTACTCATTCCAAAGCTGTTTGTATCTCTGCAGGAACTCCCCTAACCTCCCCCCGCCAAAGTCTCCAATAAAGTTCACTCCGTGGGCCTTAATGTGATTAATTATTTTGTGTGTAGGAATTAACAGATGATCATAATTGACACCAGAGCAGAAAGTGAAGAATCAGCCACAAGATTCAGAGCAAAGGACAAGAATTTGACTGAATCAAAAAGTACTTGTCAACGACGACAAGGCGAAAGTGTGCCTCAGGGACCTGGAGAAATCAGGTAGGCCATTTGGAACTTCCCACAGAGTTTGGGATACAGTTTCAAAAGTTAGTGCGAAGTTCTTAAGTGCCAAAATATGGAGTTACAAAAGGCATATATTTAATGGAGATTCTAAAATGTGTAGAATCCTATAATTGTAAAACTCTGAGGTATCTCCAAAATTATCTAGTTCAATGCTTCCCCAAACTGCTACCTTTTGAAATTGTCTAAAGGACTCTTTAAGGTGAAAAGCATTATTTCTTACAGATTGTGGCTTACTAATCTGTATTTTTAATAAGCACTTCGCTTTTAATTTTGGCTTTTGTTGCCATTGCTTTTGGTGTTTTAGACATGAAGTCCTTGCCCATGCCTATGTCCTGAATGGTATTTCCTAGGTTTTCTTCTA